GCGGGTGAGCAGCGGCAGCCAGACGCGCCAGCGTTCACTCAACCCGGAAGTGACCCGGAAGTGACTTCGACTGATGACTAAAGCATATATAACAACTGCCATGCACACTTTGTAAGGGAGCAGTTGTCTGCTCCAACATAACTGTGGTTTGCCCGTTATTTCAGTTCTGTGTGGTTAGAGCTTTCAAATGGGCAGGAGGATGTCAACAGCTGCAGTGTCGGCGCTGTGCCCAATAATCATTATAATATTCATAATAATCAAACTAATAATAACGTCAAGTTACTCACATCTAGGAAAGGAGTTCATATGACTTAGATTGGGTACAATTGAATTACAATAAAGTGGTTCTCTTTGCCTAGTCTTTGAGGCAACCCTGCAACAGTATTATAGTTTTATTAGCCACTAGCCAGGTTGAATCATTTCTGCCTATATGGATGATAACACTAACCTAAATACTGGAGGCAAGGAAGGAGTGAAGTCATCAGTGACTGCTCAAACTCCTTTTTTCTCAGACACTTTTTGTCTCCCTCTTCATCTTCTATCCCAAGTACCATCTGGCTGTTTTTGTCATGGTGCGAGGTGGTGGTGGACCCCAAAAAGCAGGCACGAGGGAGGAGCAGGGTGAACTTGAAGAATTGTATTAAGACAGAGAAAACTAAATCCAAAACAAACAAAATCCGAAGTAGCATACAAAATCTTGACTGAAGCAAAACTAACCATGACCAAAAACAAACATGACAGTAGCAAACACACAAACAAACAGTAACAATGACCTGACAATGAGTGGTCTGGCGGGAGTCCTTTTATGCCACTAATTACATAACGACCAACAGGTGTGCAGCTGCAGGGGGAGCCCTACAGTGCCACCTGTTGGTCACAAACAGAATCATGACAGTATCCCTCCCTCAAGGGACGGATCCCAGGCGTCCCAAAGTCGTCCAAAGGCTTGCCTCGCCGGGGAACGGGAACTAAAAGTGACGGCAACCCTTGCCTCGCCGGAGAACAGGTACAAAAGCGACGGCGACCTTCGGCTTGCCGGAGAACAGGAACAAAAGCGACGGCGACCTTCGCCTCGCCGGAGAACAGGAACAAGAAGCGACGGCAACCCTTGCCTCTCCGGAGAACAGGAACAAAAGCGACGGCAACCCTTTGGCTGGGCTTGGCCTGACGTGGACGGAGCTCGATGTAACGGGGGACATGGGACAGCCGGATGTGAACGGGGGCTCGGCCTGATGTGGGCGTGGCACGGCTCGTCGTCAACATGAATGAGACTCAGCTCGAACAGACACGTGACGAGCCTCGGCTCAATGTGGACGCAGATGGGGCTCGGCTCACCGTAGACGCGGCTTGACGAGACGAAAACATGGGACAGCCGCATCACCAGCGCTGCCTGAAGGGGAAAAGGGTATCGGCCGCAGACGTGCTCCGCCAGGCACATGGTGGAATTGAAACCAGTCCTTTATACCTGCGGGTCCAGTTGATGGCCGGGTCATTCTGTCACGTTTGTGAGGTGGTGGTCGACCCAAAAAAGCAGGCAAGAAGGAGGAGTGGGGTGTACTTGAAGTGTATTGATAAAACACAGAAAACGAAATCCTAGTGATGGGTCCAGCAACACCGATGCGTTGACGCATGCATCGGGCTCACAGAGCAATCCACGTGTCGGTGCGTGTGCTGCTTCATTACATCACGTGATCGACACGTGAACTGCACCGGCGAAGTCTAGACTGCATCGGCTGTGTCGACACAGTCCAGGCTGCGCCACTCAGTCCAGGGGGCGTCTTTTATTGATTGTGTTGTTACACGTGCATTTTTGTCAACATACTTGCAGGTTCATAAAGGACATGTACCATGCTCATTTCCCAAATGAGGAATTTCTGTGATCAGGACAAATTGGACAGCGCAAACACGAGTCCGCACTAGAGAATATTTACTGTATCTATATCTTCTTCTTCTCCTTTCGGCTCGTCCCTTTTCAGGGGTCGCCACAGCGAGTCACAAATTTCCAACTGTCCCTGTAAACCGTCCTACCAACTCGCATGTTCGTCTCGGCAAAAGTTTTACGCCGGATGCCATTCCTGACGCAACCCTCCCCATTTCTCCGGGCTTGGGACCGTCACTGGGGAACAGTGTACCCCCAGGGGAGGGCACTGCCCCCCAGCGGCTGGGATTCACCCTCGCTCGAATAAAAATATATATTTGGGCAAAACGGAAAACACACAGATTATCAGAAAAACATGTACGTCTGACTTCGAGCGTCGTGTCGGCTGTCACGTAATAGGCTATTATTATATGAGAAGTGCTTTATGAAAGTTCGTACTGTACGTCATACTCCAATTGATTGAGAGGTCCCGCCTATAAAGGGGAGTTCCAGGAAGTGACTGCGAGTGAGCATGCCGCATGTTTGATGACTCTGCCACGTTGTTATTAAAAGTCACATAAAACGTAAACCTTGTCGCCTGACCATCATTACATCGGCTAGGCTAGCTTAGCTGTTGTCGTAGTTCAAATCTTCTTTAATATGTGGCGTGGGTTGCGTCGGCGCCGTGAGTACGTGCTCGCGCTCACGCGTGCACAGCTGAGCGCAGCGGACTATCGACTGCTGAGACGCGCTTCACTCGAGTGACGTTGCAACAGTACGTGCATATTATGGAGCAGCTTCCGGACAAACGCAAATTGTCCGCCATGTAGAGCCATTTTGATCTCTTTTGGAGAATAAGGTATTTATTAAAATTTCCTTGTCTCACCAAGTGCCTCTCAGATTTTTGACGTCTCATTGCATTGTGTGTGTGTTCTACACAGCAGGGGAAATAGCATGCAAGAAACGTAACAGACTGAAATTTAAAACACTGGTGATGATGATTCGGCTAACGGATGAAGAGGTGTCTTCCTCCGCCACGTCGCCCCAACTCCCGCAAGTTGCGGCCGCCGCCTCTGCCGCGAGGCTACCGGAGTTCTGGCAGAGCGACCCGGCTTCGTGGTTCCAGCATGTGGAAGCGCTTTTCCACCTACGGGGAATCACTGCCGATGAGCCGAAATACTACATGGTCGTAGCG